TTAATTAATGAAAATAATCAGGAGGTTCAGAAGGAGGCTGTAAGTGTATCGATTGTGTCTAGGAGGTCAGCAAGACTACATGAGCCAAAAAGTTGTAACAGTTGTGCTCATATTGCAACGGTTTGTAAAACTCAAAGTTTGTGTGCGTCTGTTAATATGTGCGAAGCCCTAAAGGGACCCGATGCTCAGAAATGGACAGAGGCAATAATGAAAGAGTTGGACAATCTCGTGAATAAAGATGTGTGGGATATAGTGCTCAGAGCATTGGGTAAAAATGTCATTGACTGTAAGTGGGTCCTTGTCATCAAAAGGGATCCTGATAGATATAAGGCTAGGCTTGTAGTTCGAGTATTCCGGTAAAGACCTGGGGTAGACTATTCGGAGACCTTCAGCCTAATTGTGAAACGCAAAACCCTGAGAATTTTACTTGCTCTGTGTGCTGAGAATGAGTGGAGTTATGAACACATTGATGTAGAGTGTGCATACCTCAACAGTTCTTTGGATGAGGACATATACATGGAACAATCTGAATTCTTTGAAGTTCCAGAAAAGGACAGTAGTCAATATGTGTGTAAACTTAAGAAGAGCCTGTATGGACTGAAGCAAGCTGGGAGAAAGTGGTTCAAACATATTAATAGTATTTTGAAAGGTATGAATCTGAAACCATGTCTGAGTGTCCCATGTGTGTATGTGAATGTATCCAAAGATCTAATTGTAGCGGTGTATGTGGGTGACATTCTTGCGTTTGGAACAAAGACTGCGATTTGTATGTTCAAGACTGGTATTAAGGAAAAACTAAATGTTAAGATGCTAGGTACTGATACTCAATTCTTTTCCGTCCATTTGAGTAAGCCAAGCAGCACTACTGTTGTGTTTGGCCAATCTGTGCAGATAGACCAAATGCTGGATTTGTTTGATATTACTCATGAGACTGGAGTGTCAACACCACAAGTTAAGGAGTGTGAAGCTGCTTTTGATATTGAGTGTGACAATAAGTTGTATGAATAAACTGTTCGGCTTATAATGTATGCCTCTACTGTAAGCCGTCCTGATGCATGAGCAATGGGTAAGCTAAGCCAAAGATGTGCAAATACGACTGTGTCTGATTGGAAAGCAGTGAAGCGTATTTTTAGGTACCTGCCAAAAATCAAAGACAGCTAGTATACCAAAAGGCAGGGCAACCTTTGAAGGTGTTTTGTGATTGAGATTTTGCGGGCTGCTCAATAGATAGTGTTACGATGTTACGACTGTTCGCGGAGAGACGCGGTCGCTAGGAGAACGCGTCAGCGAGAGGCGTAAATTCTCGCTACGATCATGTTAATCGACGCCGCGAAATAGTCGTTCCCCTGTTTCGTTTAGGATAACAGAGGTGGTTTAATGAATGTAACACTGTATTAACAGGTTAACATAGAACAATATATTTTACAATAATATGATGAAGATGTTACAGAAGTTTCCTCGTCAGATTTGTCGAAGTGTCATGTTTGACTCGTCAGAAGGAACTGCACGCCCTTCGATTATTTTCGTCTTTTCTGGAAGGCGACCCCCACTACCTTCGGATCACGCCACATTATTTTACGCGAGGTAAAATAACGGCCACGAGTCGACGTTTCTGGAGGTCGCCAGAACCATGCGCTTGCCACTACAATGTTTGTTTGCCGGGCAGCCGCGACGATCCGTCTGCGACGCTGCAGGACCGCGAGCGACGGTCAGAAAACACAGCCTGTGGTAAGCCTCGTGGCGTAACAGATAGAAAATCTAGAAGTGGGTATGATTTCATACTTGCTGGTGGTGCAATATCTTGGTTATCAAAGAAGCAACCTATTATATCTCAGTCGACATGTGAAGCAGAATTTGTAGCAATGTGTGGATATCCTTACTGTTAAGGGAGTTGGGTCAATTGTCATATTGTCTCCGCCCATGCAAAATTTTCTGCGGTAATATTGGAGCAATATTATGGTCCAAGGATGAGATAGTTTCTGAGCGTTCTAAGCACGTTCAAGTCCGTTATTTCTATGATAAGAATTGCGTATCAAAAGGTATATTAGATTATGTTGATGTGCCAAGTTCTGAGAATGTTGCAGATATTCTTACCAAAGGTTTAAATAGGATTAAGATTCAATATTTTATCAAAGCTATGGAGCTTATAGAAAGTATGATCACAGAGGAGTGTTGAGGAAAATATTAGATTGGTGTGATCACTAGTTCCTACATGCTTAGTTGGTACGACTTCTAACAACGCTCTTTTGTTTTGGCGTTCGTCACGTGTTCATTATCAGAGAGTATTCGGTCTGTTCTAATGGCTGTACATGATGGTGAAATACAGAATATAGAAAACTGAATCTGTGTGAATCAATTAAATATCGAACTCCAAAATCTACTTAATAACAGATTTAATGTTTAATCTATCTCTTTCTGCTTTTTTCTTACTTCTAAATGTTATGTCTTCTTTTATACGACTTATATTAGATAACCTTCCACCCATGTGTTGTTCGATTTGAAGATCACTGTTACATTTCGCGACTCAAGCTAATCTATTTTCATTCGTATAAGGGGGTTTTCTCGCTCTCGGGGATATTTCGGCCGACTTTTGATTATTGATAACTAAAAAATGAAATCGCAAACGTAACATTTTATTCTTCATCTTCGTCTTATTTTTACTTCAAGAATCACCCCTTAAATTTGTACATCTGTAGTCAAACACTCTGTATAATAAAGCATAGTGACTACGATTGTAGCAGTAGTTATATATGTTACACTGTAACCATTCTCACTGTTCACGCGAGCGCCGGACCCGAACTAAGTGGACAACATTGTATATCATATGTGTTATATGTCGGGTTCTCATTATGATTAGGGGCGTGTAACGAGTCTTCATTTGGATTAGACATTGTTCTTATGCAATAGAGAAGATATTTGCTAGTACAAATATGATTAATACAGAATTTGACAAGTAACCGTGGTAATTGGATACTCGAGATGCTAATGGCAATGATCTTAGATTCAATAATGAATCCGCGGCCAACGGGATAGCAAAGGTATTTTCCTCCAAAATTTAAGTCGGGCTCTTTGGTAAAAACGTGAAGTATTCACTGATCGGAAAGACGTTGTTTTGGCGTTGTTTTAGACAGTAGCTCGCTAGATTTAGCTGCTATATGAGTAGAAAGACTGTCATCTACATGATGAAAGGGTAAGATTCATCTTTAAAAAGAAAAAAAAGATACAAAGCTCTTTGTTGAGATGCGGCCCAATCCTCTCCAGCAATAAAGTATTACTGGAAGATTTAAGATTCTTTAGAAATTCGAAACGTCATGCTATTTCAAAGATGAGAATTGACTCATGAGGCATCGTTGTCGTGGTTGTTGGTAATAATAAAATAAACACGGAAAAGATTTTGAAGTAATACCATGATTCTTCAGCAGGACATTTCAACGTAAATAAAATCCTGACCAAGGTACCAAGTTTTGTTAGACCATTTGCCACCAAGATTTAGAGGTATGATATAGTCGTTGTGACGTCTGTTCGGCGAAGAGAAAATCAATCAAAGAATTTCTAGTATTGAAACTCCATTTGTAACAGTTGCGTTCGACGTATTGAAACCGCAATCCAAGTTCCGAAACAGAAACAAATATGCGCTGTTTGTGGTAAATTACTTCACGAAATGGCCCAAAATAATCCCAATATCAAACTAGTCGTCACAATAGCAAAGCTCCTTCTGCAGGAAGTTATCAGTTGACACAGTGTATCTATAAAAATACATTCCGACCAAGAAAGGAACTTTAGAGCCTAACACTTTTAACACCGACACTTTTTGTATACCTATTCCTACCGTGTCCGATCAAAATGACCGGTGATTAAAAAAGTAATAGTTTTTATAATTTGTGGCGGCACTCAACAGCAAATACCATCACTCGACACTAACTACTGTCGGACGACGGCAGCGCAGTGGTTAGCGCCTTAGGTTACGAATGTTCGGGACCTGGGTTCAAACCCGGCAACCGGAGTCCGATTTTTCTTCCACGCATTTCAATCGGAAGAAAAATAGCAGTACCCCATCAGCGACATCTACAGCTAGCGCAACAATTATCACGGACAACACACTTACACCTCAAATTTAACTTACATAATGGTAGATTTGTACCTGAATGTATATAAAATGATGAATTTTCATAAAATTGCTTTTATTTAATTTCAATTGTAGACTTAAGTAAAATTACACTTTTATTTATGTAGAGATGTACAACTTCGCTGCATTTTCTACAAATTATCTTATTATCAAATGTACGTTTGCCGTATACATATTGCCCGCATCTTGAATAGATTTTCATAGTTTTATAACCTTTACAACATTTTACTTGGCAAGTTTTTTGTAGTACTGAATCTTAACTTGTTGATAGTTTTATTGCATGGTTTTTTCCTGCAATTCTTTATACAACAGTAATGTATGCGCCAAGTTTATAACAATTTTGTGAATTTTTTATAAATCGGACCCATACTGCAGATAACATTGCAAATTTATTGGTTCATAAACATTGGCTTCTTTCGGTCTTCCTATCAAATCGTATAAACCTCATAATTTTAGCAAAGTCATTCCTGCTCTTTGTTTTTGAAAAAAATGCAGATCCTCAAGTTTTATTCCGCAAATATGAGACATCTAAATTGCTTGCCTGATATGCACCGCGGGCATATAACAGAACAATAAATGCATCTAGTTTTGTTGTATCTAGCTCCCACTTAGTCCCCAATGTTCTAAATGCTTCTTCTTGCGTACATTTTATTATATGATCCCTTATACGGTGATAAATGATAAGATAAAATACCGGTATAAAAGAACCCACGTATAAAAAAAAAGGTTTGGGATTTGCATCTATTTTTTTTCAAACTGCTCCATCGGGCCCAGTCTCACTCTCTGCTGTCAACGATAACTTCTTTCTTCTTCGGCTTAGACATGAACGCTTATTTATAATATTCTCCTTTTCACTACTGCTGTCTAACTTTGATTCGGTTGTAAATGGCTTTTCATGTGTTTCCATGCTGTCTTCAGTTGCTGAATTTTCTTGTTCGTCGCACACTGAACAGTCTTCACCTATGTCCGTTATTTTTCTTTTATAATTTTTTTTTGGAAAGTCTTGACATTTTTAGAGTAAATATTTATCATAAAATAACAACATGTACAGAATACAAAATTATTGTCAAATTTTATATGCTTTACTTCTTCTTTTATAACAACTTTACACAAAACGTTTTGAGATATTTTCGGTCCGAGTTTTACCCATGTATGGAATACAAAATTATTGTCAACTTTGATATGCGTTACTTTTCCTTTTATAACAACATTACACAAAACGCTCTGAGTGAGATGCTTTCTATCTGAGTTTTAGAGATAACAAGTTTAGATGTCGACTAATTGACTAACAAACTGAGATGTATTCTAATCGAAAGGACGATAGCAAGTAAGAATATAGTCTGTGACGGCGATATTTATACGAAAATATTGATGGGTGCTGACAGTTCTGTATCAACATGGGAAACCAACATGGGACATTGAACATGGGAAAAAGCCGCTTTTCCCGTGTTTGATCGAAATGAGCAATAATCCTAAAAAACTTCTCGACTTTCAAAATGTTTGTAACAATTAACCGTAAAAATGCTAAATTTTATGGCGGTTCCTTAGGATTATTATGGGCCTGAGTTGATATGTTTTACCATAACACTTGATGGCCAACTTGATCGAGGGATGGATTATAGTTTATAACAAGATTATGGGCGTAACAGTTGTTATTGTTTGTTATTACTGATTTTGTTTGTCATCTGGTCTTTAGATAGCCTTTTCTTTTTACTGATTGCATTTATTTTAAGAGTAACTAAAATATTTTATCGGCTGGTCAGATTGACCGCCTGCGATAAGCACGACAGAATACAATTTTTTCTTAGGAAAAAAAAACTAGAGGTAAATACCAAAAAATATATTGTATGGATGTTTTATGAAAGGTCATAAATTATAAAGCGATATGATAACATTTCAATATGGTTAAATTTGTGTAGAAATTTAAAAATGGTCAATTTGACCAGCAGTGGTAGATTTAATGTTAAAGAATTAATGAAGCAACTGGAGAACAAAAGAATGAGAACTACTTTGCTAAATCCACAGTTCCACGGTCTTGTGGAATGTTTAAATCGAAAATTATTACAATAATTATCAAAGTCCGGGATGAGTAGTCTCGTTATTCCTTTTGGCATATCGCTCCGTGCGATAGGAATCTACGCATCTACAGGAATTATACTGCAAATCGAGTCAAATGTACAAAGTGCATGCATGAAACATAATAAGCATTATTGTATATGTTACGAGGATGTAATTTTCTATCTTCCTTATTACTATATACTGCTCAGAAACCTATTTATCTAAATGATGGTTAAAAAAAATAACAGAATTTACACCTATGTATACACTGTGTCATTTGAACCCGCGTTTCTGGAAATCGATGAATTCGTCACACTACGAGCTACACGTTTATCTAAATAAAATCATACAATTCCTTCTAAAATGACGAAGGTTACCTCGAAATCTCGGAAGCACAACCACCTAGAGAAACCATCATTATAAGAAACCTAACCCGAAACAAGATAAGTTTAATTTGAAATGAAATATAGTTTGAGAAATAATTGTGTGAGAAATTTCAAATGGGACACTCTGTATATTATATCTTTGATTTATAATAATTATATATAGTATTTGACAAGGCTTATGGTATAAGAAATATGCAATAATTGAATTAATTATAATCTGGTGTAGTCATCTAAAAACATACATCACACTCTTGTTGATGTTGTACTATTATAAAATACTACTGCAATATATGATACTTTAATAATATTTTATATATAACATTTAAAACAATTCATTCATACCTCCATTTACAGTTACAACATTTACAATTTTGTTGGCGAGCATGATTACTCCACTGGCGACGTAGCTCGCAAAAGTTATTTAGCCATTTACAACTTGGTTTAGGTGGCGTAAAGCAATTCCACTCCATTTCTTCAGCGCACTGACAAGGTTCTAAGCGTGCTTTTTTATAGTGTGTGCTTATTGTACTATTATTAATAGATTGCAGGGTGTTACAATCCGTAGGAATGAAATATCCTTCATTATTTTGACACAAACAAAAGTAAGAATCCGGTATGGAACCTCTTTTCATGTTATCATGGTTCACTATATTGAAAATGAATTTATTATATCACATTTATCCATAAGTTTATTGATGTAATATATAAATAGTATTTTACAATTAAAAATATATATTAAAATATTATACTTATATATAACTTTACTAACATTATAGAAACAAATTTTAAAACAGACTAATGAAATGTTTTATTAAAGAAAGATATTAGATCAATTAATGTACACTGATAACTGATATTGATACTAACCAGCAAACAATAATAAATTTATAGTTCTATATTTTATTATATTTGAGTATATTATATATTTTTGCTGATCTCCATATAGAAAAATATTAAATAACTTACATTTTACTTAAATGTGATAAATATAAGTTAATTTTCTTATCCTATTTATTTAATTCATACTCATTAAACCAATATAAGTGTATAAACGTATATAATTATGAAATAAAAGATTATATCTTTTAAAGAGAGAGAATGAAAGAAACATATGTACGTATATGTGTATATATATATATTCTCTTTTTCTCTCTTTTAAAAGATGTACTCTTCTGTTTCATAATTATTGTGTTAAATATACATATTTAATACACATTATATATCATGGATACTCTTCAACAATATTCATATTGAAATTTTGTATTTATTGTTAAAATAAAATTATTTTATTTCAAACTATAATTTAATAAAAGCTATTTAATAAGAACAAATAATTCATTCATTAAGTAAAGTATCAATCAGAGCGAAGATATTTGTTAAGTAATGAAAATACTAAATTAAGAAAACTAACATAAATAATATTACAAGTTAATGATATCTTTAATCGCTTCCTCAGAACTATATGATTCTACATTACAATTTCTTTACCACGATGATGGTACCTCGCTGGGGGTAGCCACCCACATGTTATATTAGTATACCGCTATAATATTTTATCAAATGTCCTACTGGACAAATTGTAAAATGTAAATAAATAAATAAAAAAAAAAACAATTTCTTTAACATACGTAATTGACGTGTAAGTGTATGTGTACTTGATATTACACACTACATTTAAATAATTTTGTATTCGCATTACATTAATAATTATGAATATCTATTACTGATAAACTAACCATAGTTATTATCAACGCATAGTTCAATTTCTTCTTTCTTTTTACAACATGACATATTTGTTCATCAAATTACATAGTAATATTTATTTTTTATCAAAGGTTATGCTGCTATTTAATTCAAAATATAATTTTAAATTGTTACACAAATTTAGTCTACATGTTATTTATTTAGTTTCATAGCAATAGGAAAGATCTTCTATTGTCTTATTAAATGTCTTTCATATTACCACTGTGAACTTGAGGATAATCATAATGATAGTCAACTAATATTGTTAAATTACAATTTATATTAACATGTAATAGAAAGAATATATTAAAAGGTAATGGCTTATTTTTTATTTCCTCCATACCTATGCAGAGAAAAGATTATGCTTGATTATTGGCATTGAATTGTTCCATCTAATAGAAAAATGAAATGATTTCCAATAACTGTTAGATATGAATTGTATGCTGCTAAAATGTTGATAAAACACAATAAAAAATACAATAGCAAAATAGCAAATATATAGGATAGTATAATATAAATAATTTTTAAAAATGATAATAGTAATAATAACAATGATAACTTTTGATTGAATTAAAATTATTGTAGTTACTAAACTTTATGAATAGTACACATATCTGTGTGTAAACATTCTTTCAAATTATTTTTATAATATTATTGAAACAAATACCAACGAAGAATTAAAAATGATTAATAATTAAGAGAATAACAATCAAGGAAACTTGATTAATACTAAATCTGCTACTATCTATCAATTTGACCGTTTTCAAACTTTTGTACAACTTTCACATATTTAAGCATTATCACATCGCCATCAAACTACACAGCTTTTCTTAAAATATGCATACAATGAATTGTCGAATATTAATTCCCGTGTTATTTTTTTTTCCAAGAAATATATGAAACCTGTCCTGACTACTGCCGCCGGTCTATTTGACCGCTCGAGATAATATGGTATTTACTCTCTTAAACAATCAATATAAAAGAAAGGCTATCTCAATATGTCATGGCCAACTCAAAAGAAATGACCAAATCTTTTTTTTTATATTATTTATTAAAATTACAATCAATTCTCGCGTTGAGAATTTTCAG